CGTTTCGTTTTTTGCAAGGGATTCGTGCACAAGTGTTATGTTAGAACAAAACATATCACCGCATAGTGTTTTTTACAAGGGAACCTCTGGGGGGGGGGAAACCGGCCTGGCTGGGATGATATGATTTCATATTTAGGATGGACGAGTGTGCAGAATATATATATATATATATATATATATATATGAAATCGTATTATCCCAGGGGGAAGCGATAAGTCCGGGGGGGGGGTCGAGTCTATTCTTTTTTAGAAAGGAGAATCCACTCTGCTGAACTTGAAGTCGTCATCTCCACTGCTCGCGCCTGCCCACCCACCCGCAACTTGGTTTGCAAAACCTCTTAAGACCGACTACGACGACACCGACGACAACGACTAGGACGACACCGACGACGCGTCTCCGACGACTTCGACGACGACAACGACGCCGACGCCGACGACGACGAACACGACGACGACGACGCCAACGAAGGCGACGACGAGGGAGGAGGAAGGACGACGACGGCGACAACGACGACAACGACGACAATGACGAGGGAGGAGGGAGGACGGCGACGACGCGAACGACGACGAAGGAGGAAGGACGGCGACGCCGACGACGACAACGACGAGGGAGGAGGGAAGACGACGACGACGACGACGACGACGACGCCGGCGACGAAATAGGAGGGACGACGGCGAAACGCCGACGACGGACGACGACGACGACGTGGGAGGAGGAGGAAGGACGACCACGGCGACAATGACGACGGAAACGACCACGACGCCAAAGAGGACGACGACGAACACGAGAAAAGACAGAGGACGACGTAGGCGACGACGACGACGACGCGGGAGGAGGGAGGACGGCGACGACGACGGCGACGACGACGACGACGACGCAAGAGCGCGCGCGCACGCTTTTGTTGAAAATCCGTGTTGCGAAACCTTAGGTTTTTGTTGTAGTTTGTTTGGACGCACGATTTTGAAATCCTTCCGAAATCGATGGGTTTTGAAGGTTTTCGGCATACGCCCGCGACGGCGCGCGCGTCTGCACTTCGTCTAATTTTTTGCAGAGGGTTCTCGCGACGGCACACGCGCAAGGGCGTTCGACAGATTTCGACATGCGCGCGCGCGAAGCCCGTTTGGTAGCATTTTGTGTGAATCTTGAAAAATCCAATGGTTTTCTTAAGATTTCGCAAGAGCTCGCGCGGAAGCTTTTTAAGGAACTCGATTGCGAAATCCTTCCGGCACCCAAGGTTTTGAAGGATTTCGGCATGCGCGCGCGACGACGCGCGCGCTCGCACTTTGTCCCATTTTAACAAGGGATTCATGGAACAGTGTTATGTTAGAACAGAACATGTCACCGAATAGTTTTTCACTACAAGGGAACCTCAGGGGGGGAACCCGGCCTGGCTGGGATGGTATGATTTCATAGTTAGGATGGACGAGTGTGCAGTATATATATATATATGATATATGATATATATATATATATATATATATATATATGAAATTATACTATCCCAGGGGGAAGCGATAAGTCCGGGGGGGGGGTAGAGTCTATGATTTTTTAAGAAAGGAGAACAAATTCCTGGTCGCAGTGACTTGTCCATCCCACTGTTCGCGCAATCATCCCACCCACCCACCCGCAACTTGGTTTCCAGAACCCATGCGGCGGCGATTGCGATGAGTGCTCGAAGTTGGCTAGTGCATCTCTGCGGCCGCGCTGGCCTGGTCATGCGCGCGCGCAGCGGCCAGATTGCTTGGCGCGACCGACGCGGCCACGGTGGCGCTGATCGCTGGACATTTGTGCGAGTCGGCGGCTTGGGTGGGCGCGGTATCATGGCAACGTCGACAACGGTAGACGCGATGATGATGGTAACGATGTTGGTGGCGATGGTGATAAGGACGGCGGCAGGACAGTTACGGCGCCGACGTTGATCACGCCGACGACGATGACGGCGCCCTCGCGTCAGTGATGAAGGTTTTGGAGGGAGTTTGACATGCGCGCGCGGCCGACGCGCGAAAGTGGCGCGAATGGTATTATTTGACACGGATCGTGCCCCCCCCCCCAGCACGCGCGCAAAAGGCGTTTGAAGGATTTCGACGGGCGCTGTGAGGGGCTCGTTTGGCGAAAGTCAATACACTTGCTGAACATCATGATTTTCTTGATCGTTCGCAGGAGCGCGAGCGCACGCAGTGTTGAAAACTGGTTTCGCGAAGCAATGATAGTTTTTTTTTGGTTTCCGGGTCATTCGGGTTGTGAAGGGTGTCGACCTGCGCGCCCGATGGCGCGCGCGTGCACTTCGCCACATGTTTTGCAACATGTATCTATGACAACACGCGCGTAAGGGCGTTCGGGCGATGTCGATATGCTCGCGCTGATTTCTTCGTAAACGGATGTTGAAGTCCATGCGGGGCCTGGCGTTTTTACGACTTTCGCGGCATGCGCGCGCGACGACGCGCGCGTGTGCATTTCGTGTCATTTTTGACAGCGGTTTCTCAGAACTGACGGTTTCTGACAAACGAGCGTGCGCGCAACATGCGCGCGCGAGAGGCCCGCCTGCTTGCATTTGATGAGCGTGATGGAACACGAATGTTTTCCGAAAGGATTCGGCATAGTGCGCTCGCATATTTTACATATATATACACACGTATGGAAATATATGTTTTCGGGATACGAATTTGACATCCATACGGCGCCCAAGATGTTTGGAGGATTCCCGCATGCGCGCGTGACGACGCGCGTGTGCGGTTTTCGTCACAATATTTGTTTTCAAGGGGTGTTTGACAACTTGTAACTCTTGGGATACGAGTGCGCGCGTATAGTTTCCCCTGTGGATGAGGGCAGGTCGACAACCGAACTGCCTGGGATGGGACGGGATCATATTTAGGATGGGCGAGTGTGCAGAATCATATTCGAAAATCAATGCGCAAAAAAGTGGTCTGTTAAGTCCGGGGGGGGATATCAGAAGATTCCTTGAAAGAGGAGGATCTATGTTGTGCGGCGACGGGGCGGCGACGACGACAGCACAACCGACAGACCGACAGTAAGGCCCAGACGACAGGCGGCGACGAGGCGGCGATAGGTCGGCGACGGCGACAACATAGCCGCCAGACCGACCGTGAGGCCCTGACGACGGGCGGCGATGAGGCGGCGACGGGGCGGCGACGGTGATAACATAGCCGCCAGATCGACCGCCTGGCCCAATTCTTCAGAACACGAGAAAGACAACCAACATACAAACATTGTTAAGGGAATGTAGTTATAGGTGCGTATGTACATACACTGGCTGCACCATTCAGATTGCGCGACATTGGCTGCGCGGCGTGGATTGTGCCGCATAGGTGTGCGATGCAACGTTTTTGTCACATGGACTGTGCACGCAGCTCGCACCACGTCGTTGGTTGCATCACATAGTTTGCACCATGTAGAATGCACCAGTTATGTCGGTCATCTGTTATCGCACCGCATGTTTCGCACCTCGTTCTTTGCATATCCAGAGAACACCAACTCACTGCTTGGGGTGTACGCTGGCAAACACGTTTGTTGTGCTTCGTTCGCTGTTCGCTTCTTCAGAGACGCCAAGGCGAGGACGGGCTAACCCATCCCCCCTCGGGGACGCACGGTGTCGGGGGTCACGAGACAGGAGAAGAGAACGAGGAGGATGCGGAGGAGGAGTAAACTGATGCTTGAGAAGCGAGGGTGCACGAATGGGAGGAAAGGGGCGAGGAGTGGCAGGACGTAGGAATAGGGATGAGGAGATATGAGCGGACACGATGATGGATGAGGATGAGAGAGGAGGAGGAGGGGGAAGGACACGGAGGAGGACTGCGTGGGAGTGATGGAGGTGGGGGATCGAGTGATCTTGTGATAGTGATGGTGGTGGTCACGGTGATAATAACCCAGTCGGGGAGAGGGGCGAGGAGGATTGACGAGTGTTGATGGAAGATGGGGAGGAAGAGGAGGGGGAGGAGGAGGAGGAGGAGGAGGAGGAGGAGGAGGAGGAGGAGGACGAGGAGGAGGAGGAGGAGGACGTAGGAGATGTACGAATGAGGAGGCATCCGTCGGCCAGATGATAGACTGGAAGCTCAATGCGGAGCAGCAGGAGGATTCAGTGGGGATGATGGAGGCGGAGGGTGAGATGAGCATGGATCTGGCAGGAAGATGATATGGTGATTGTGATGGTGATGATGATGGTGACGCTGATGAACATCGAATGGCCTTCGGCCCATCCCGCCACCGTGCTTAGGTTGTGGGTCTGAGGCCTCTTCGGTGTTCGTTGGGATCTAGTCGAGGCCTCTCGGGGGCCTCCTGGAGGCAGTTTTGAAACTTCTGGGGGCGGAGCTGTTTTGGAGCCCCTGGGGGCCTCTTGGCGGGCCACGTGGAGGCCTCTTGGGGGGCTCTTGAGGCCTCTAGGGGACCTTATGGGGCCTCCTGGGCGCCTCTTGGGGCGGAAGGCTCGGATTTTCGGTTCGTGCTCCACGTCCTGTGCCACTCTTGGGGCCGTCTTGTGGCCCTCTTGGGGGCTTCTGGGACGTCTTGGAGCGTCGGAAGCTCGAAACGTGGAGAACCCACAAAACATTAAACCATCAAAGGGCACTCAATGATTTTGGCCTCTCGGGGCCTTCTTGGGAAGGCTCGTGGAGGCCTCTTGGGGTGTCTTGGGTGCGTTTGCGGCCGACTGGAAGTAATCCTTGGCGCCTTGAACCGACTGTTTGGCGATTCGGGGCCTTTTGGACTGTCTGTGGGGCCTCTTGGGGCTCTCTCGACCCTACTTGGGGCCCCTTGGGCTCCGAACATGCCACTCGCGAAGATGCGCGGACCCGCGTGGGGCACGCCGGGAGCCAAAAGAAGGCTTGAGAATTCGGGGTCCAGGCATCTCAAGAATCCTGAGGATTGCGGCCTGAGGCTTGAGGGATTAGGCAAAGGACCTGAGGACACTCCAACTCGTGTCTCAGGGCACGGTGGCGGATTATGATGCATGCATGGAGCAGGAGTATCGGTATATTGGGCGCGAGGCCAGCATCGTGCGCCTCGGTTTCGCCCTGAACAGCGAGCCGCTGGGCATTGCGTACGAGGCCCCGGACGAGCTTGGTGACGACGCGCTGGCTGGAGCGGTGTGCGGCCAGGGCTTCAAGGTCCCTTGGAGCCGCCGTCCTCGTCGCCGTTGCCGTCGCCGTCGCCGTCGCCCGAAGAACCGAAACGGGCACCGGCCTAAGCTTTCAGAGGTCCGCGCAGATTTCTGTGGGTCGGCGCTGGCCCTCCCCAGGGGAGGTGGGGGTCGTGCGCCTCCCACGGAACTCTCCTTCGCCGTCCCCGTCCTCGCCTGTCTCGCCACCGTTGCCGTCCTCGCGGCCGTGCTCGCCGCCGTCCTCGTCGCCGTCCTCGACGCCGCCGCCGCCGTCCTCGCCACCGTCGCCGCCGTCCTCGTCGCCGTCCGCCGCCGTCGTCGCGAAGGATAGCAGGCAACGGGGACGAGGGAAGGAGAAGGAAATCAGGAGGTAGAGGGAAGGACATACACTCGGAATTCTAGACGCTTCGCGTAACCACACCAGCTTCTGCTGCCCAATTCACTCGCATCCAATTCATTTCGTGACGTGGGCCTACTTGACTGGCCTCTTCGGTACTCTTGCAGTCCCGTGGGTGGTTACACCCCTGCCTACAATTCACATCGCAGCTTGCAGACCCTGGCAGCCAGCCACCCTGGCAGTCCGCCTCCCCCTGCAGCTCGTTGCTTGCGTGCATCCCTGGCAGTGCAGCCACCCTGGCAGCCACCGCCATGCTTGCATGGACGCTGTGTGGGCGCTATCTGCCCATGGCCCTGGCATCCACACTCAGTGCAGCTTGCAGCTCACGTGAGGCGCCGCTTAGGCAGCTTAAGGCAGTTTAGGTGTGCGGCTCTAGTTTGCTCCTGTTGTCAATTCGTAGGCCCGCGCCCCGGACTTACGACTCGCCGTTTGCGCTCTCGCCCGCGGCCGCGACCAAACAAAAGTAACCCCACCAGCCCATCCAGAAACGATGCCCAGAGGAAGTGCCTCGATCAGGGAAGTGGGCAGCACACAGAGGAAGGGTCCCCCAGTGGAGGCCTTTTGGAGCGTCTTGGGGGCTTCTTGGCGGTCCCGGACGCCTCTTAGAGCGTCTTGGGTGCCTCGGAGAGCTTCTTGGGGCCTCTTGGGGGTTTCTTGGGGGCCTTTTGGAGGCCTCTGGGGCGCCTGTTGGGGCCTCCTGGGGCCTCCTGGGCGCCTCTTGGGGCCCTCTTGAAGCGCTCTTGGGAGCCTTCGGGGCGCTCTTGGAGGACTCTTGGGCCATCTTGGGGTCATCTTGAAGCTTCGGATGGCCATCGGAAGCGAAAAGGCGAGAAAGCCCCAAATATTGATATCCCTTAGGTTTTGGGAGGATTTTGGCCGCTTCGGGGCCTCCTCGGTGAGCTTTTTGGCCACTTGGAGCCGTCCTGAAGCGGTCTTGGGGCCTCTTGGAGCATCGTGGGAGTCGTCTTGAGGCATCTTGGGGTATCTTGAGCCATCTTTGCGGTCATCTTAAGCTCTCCCAGGCGCTCTTGGAGTCATCTGAAGCAGTGTCCCCCTCCCCAGGAGGCCCAAATGTGGCCAACACCTGGGTAAAATCACAGATTTTGGCATTCTCGCCGAGGCCTCTAGGAGCGCCTTGGGTGCCTCTGGGGGGTCTCTTGGGGCCTCGTGGGGGTCTCTTGGGAGCCTCTTGGGGGCATCCTGGGGGCCTCTTGGGGGTTTCTTGGGGCTGCATGGGGTCATCTTGGGGCCATCTCGGGCCTCTTGGGGCCTCCTGGGCGCCTCTTGGGGCTAGCTCGGAGGAGGTCGATCACAGGAGGAAGGGCCCCTAATTTGGGTCCCCCCCTTCAAGAGGCTAAAATGGGGCCACAACCATCGTAAAACCAATGATTTTGGCTTCCTCGCCGAGGCCGTTTTGGACGCTCCAACGCGTCGGGGAACCCCCGTCCAGGTCCAGGGGAGGGGATATGGGAAGGGGTAAACCCGTCCCCGCAGGGAAAGTAGGAGAGGCAACAGAGGAAACACTCTAGACCACCTACGCCCAAAAGGGCTGGTGGGATTTCCTGGTCGACGTCGGAACTGAAGTCTCCGAGCCTTCTCGGGGAACATCCGAATCGACGTGCCCAGAGGTTTCTCTTGGAGCACCGTTCGTATCGAGGAGATGGACAGGATAACGCGTGATGTGGAGGACGGGGCGGAGGACGAAAGCAGCAGGTTGAAGAGAAGGAGCGACGCCCGAACCGATCGATCCCGAAACAACATCCGAGCGGCTGCCAAAGAAGACACACAGCCCAACAGGGCTGTAACATCCCAGGTGGACGCCGTCACTGCCCCTGACGTAACCCCAACGCTGCCCTGGAAAAAGGCCTACCTTGCCCCGAGTGTCCCGAACCACCGTCCTCGCGCTTGGTTCGCACCCGCTGACCGGCGTGGCATCGTAAGCCTGGCACTCGGGGTGCTACCTGCGTCTAGGTTTACGTCGGGCGTGTCCCCCTACATGGGGATTCCCGACAAAAAATAAACCATATTCAATACATATTCACACATGGTTAAGATTTTCAAGAATGGTCCCCATATTATGTTTCTATCATTTTTGAATATTCCCCCTGTAGAAGGACAAGCCCGACTTAAGTCTAGGTGTCTCTGCGCCGCTGCTACGTCGGGATCGCCTCGTCGCCACGGCTGGATTTCCTTAGGCCTTGGGGCCCATCCTCCAAACCCGCAGTGACAGCCCGAGGCTCAGGCCAGCGCAGGCGGGCACCAACTCGAAGACACACCGCGGGATTGATCCGATATTCACAGGCAGGTCCTACGGATGCGGCTGGAACCTGAGCGCGCGCGGAGCGTGCGCATGGTTCTAGTCGGTTTGGCTATCCGTTTTACGCGCAGCGCAACGCCTGGTACGAACCGTTTCGGTACTTACATGCAATGGTGTGCGCAGCGTCTTGGCGAATACCTTCGAGCCACGACGAGTCTACTTTCTCCACATCGAATTGCGAGGGAATGTAGGTTCCAGACCCTGTGCGCCATACTGGCGCAAGTATCACATGATGCGGAAGTTGCTCTGTTTGCACCGAGTCGCTGAAAAAACGATGCACCCAGCAATTTCAGACCGACGGCGTCGATCGCTGTCGTCGTCGTCGTCGTCGTCGCCGTCGCCGTCGCCGTCGCCGTCGTCGTCGTCGTCGTCGTCGTCGTCGTCGTCGTCGTCGTCGTCGACCTCTTGGCCCCCTTCGGCGCGCCGCCGGGCGACGTCGGACCTCCAGGTCAGGCTGCTCTCCGCTGAGTGCATGCCTCTGGAGGACAGCGGTCGCGGCTGGCCGCCCCAAGGGCAACCTGGCGTCTCGACCCCCAGAAAACACGACGACCACGACGACGCCCACGACGACGGCGACCACGACGTCGGCGGCGGTGGCGGCGGCCACGACAACGGCGACGCCACGACGACGACTGCAATTGCGGCGTCCATGGGGCCGTCTTCGCCCTCCGGGCCACCAAAAACCACGGCTCCGCGGCGGAAGGGGCCCGGCCCTGGGGTCGGGGTCGAGAGCGTGGGGCGGGGGGCCCAGGGAGCAGCCCAGCAGACCCGCCCGAGGCTGAGGGCAGCTGCTAGTTGTCTGAGAGGACAGGCCGAGTTCGGATGCCTCTTGGCCTCTGGAGCGTCTGCGTGGCTGGTCCTCAGCCTTCCGGCGCGCTTCGGCGGGCCAGCCACGGCCGCAGGACGCCCCGGGCCTCGTCGGCTTCGTGGAGTACGACCCGCCGCGGATGGCCCAGGCGGTCGTGGACTTCCGCGGCCGCGAGGACTCACGAGCGACGGACACGTCCGTGTCCTTGCGCTCGCGGTCTGGATGCCGAGGCGCGATCCTATGAATACGCACGCGATCCCTTGGATACGCTCCGCGCGGAGCATCCGTGCACAGCCACCCTGTTCAAACCGTGGGTCGCGGCGGAGTCCAGACTGCGAGGCCGTGGTTATGGATCAGTTCTCCGCCCCAGAAGGACGAGTGCCTGCAGATGTGGGCGGGCGAGACCGTGAACGTCTCGGCGGACGATGGCAGTGGGGGAACAAGGAACACACTGATACCGCCAGTCCCTGGACCCCCCACTGAGGTGTGGTCGGACCTGGCTTCCTAGGCAGGTCAGGCCGTTGCGACGAGGGCCCCCCATGAGGCCCCCAGGGCGAAAACGAGACGCGGGCAGCGGCAGCGGCATCGTACACGTGTGTCTCTCTCCTCCCAGGCAGGGGTTGGCTCTTCGGCTTCTTCCTCGACGCGGAGGACCCCGACGATGGGGGCTGGTTCCCGGCCGAGGGCGTGCGGTTCCTGGACGTGGACCCGGCCGCGGCCGCCTTGGAGGACGGCTGGGGCAAGGGCCCTCCCCAGCCCAAGCTTCCGCGATTATTCGTTTTTGTTCGATGCGGGGCCACCAGACCCCGGCAGAGCCACCCCAGCAACCCCCCCCAGAGGCTGAGGCTCAGCCTCGAGGCTGTAGCTGAGACTCCTTGAAACTCACACGCCCGATCGGCGGATTTGTTTTTGTTCGATGCGGGGCCACCAGACCTGGCGACAGGTGTGCGACGAAGCAGAGCGGGTCCGTCTTTACCGACATTGGGGCGTGAGCTGCCCACGTGAGGTCCCGCGTGAGCGCCCCGTTTTCAGTGTCGCGTGCCGCGCTGGCGCTGGCGGGCCCGCTGAAGCTGCGGCGCAAGGTCGCTGTGTCGTCTCGCGTGGGGCCCGTTCCTTTTCGTCGCTCAGATAGCGTTCGATTTTTCGTCCTGGATCGTTTGAAGCTCTGGGAGCCGAGACACGGGCCCAGGGTTCTCTTTTCGTATGTGACCGTGCCCCCCCCAATGCCAGGTCTGAAGGGGGCCCGAGGAACTGTGCTTCATCAGGCAACGAAGCTAAGTTTAGTTGTCAGTCGACGACATGCGTTTCGTGCGTGCCCGCTCGAGGAAAGCGCGCCACCCATGTCTGATCATCGCTCAATTACGCGGGGATCCTTGTAAGACAACTGTCGCCAGAATCGGGAAGAAGCATTGCAACACGAAGCCGAACAACAAAATGCTTTTTGTGGTTTCCAGCGAAGAACCATGAGAGGCCTCTTGGATGCCTGTGGGGAGTTCATGGGAGACCTTTCGGAGGCCTCTTGGAAGCGGTTATGGGGGTGTCTTGGAGCCGCCCAGAGGCCAGGAGGCAAGGAAGCCCTGATCGGACCAGTCAGAATATGTTCTTGCCCCTCAAGTCGAAACACATGGATTTTCTGCGTGCCCGCCGGATGATGGCGCGCCCCGCGCTCCGATTCCTCTGCGAAGGACGGTGTGCGGAGGCCCCCAAAAGGCACAGAAAAAACTCCAGGGCGCCCTTGAGCGCCTGGGGGGCGGGGACCCTGCGCGATTTGGAAGGGATCGTGACCCTGGGAGCGCGGGCGCAACGTAATTCACGAGGACTACACCCTAGGCGATGCTTAAGAAAACTTAAGTTTTCGGCCAGAGTCTCGATTAGTCTTAACGTTTCAATGTAAATCCTGAGATTTTGATAGAAGTTCTGGGTTTTTATTCAAATTCTGAGATTCTGAATTTCTTAACCCATGATTTCTTAAGCATTTCGCAGGGTGTACATATAGCCTTGGGAACGCGGGCGCAGCGCAATGTACGAGCCACCGTGGCCCTCAGAGCGCGGATATTCGATGCAGAGCTTGCAACATGGTTGCGCGCACGAGGCGTACCTATGATAAGGTGTTCAGCGCGCGCGCCAAGACTTGTGCGCCGTCGGAGTACCAGCGTGCTTCGGCTGACAGCCTTTTCAGCCAGTTCAGTGCTGGCGATGCGATAGCGTGGGAGGCATCTTTCCTGTCGTCTATAGGTATGGTTGCGATGCCTGACGGCTCCGATGTGGCGGTGCCACCTCCGCCCGCCCCGCCTGAGGCTTCCCTTCCTGCCCTGGGCATCTTCCGCGCCATGGGGCACGGTTGTGTTCAGAGAGGTTTGGCCTTTTGCTGCCAGCGCTGAGGTGCGGACCAGGTGGGGGTGGGCAACGCCAAGAATTTGCGCGCAGCTTGCAAAGGGGTGCCCAAGTCCAAGAGCTCCCTGGCGAGGGCGGCCATGCGTCTTCGGAGACTCCTGGCTGGCCGTCGCCCCGTCTCCAACGTGGCCCTTTAACATGGAGGGCCCTCTTTCCGTCTCTCTCGCCCGTCCTCACTTGGGCGCAGTGCGGGAGTGGTTTCGGTGGTCTCCCCCTTTTAGGGGGCGGCACAGCCAGGTTGGTGCCCCGTGTGGGTGCCACTGGTGATGCCGTACACCGCTGACTCGAGCGCGCTCAGTGCATTCCAGAAGTCAGCGTTCGTCGGAGGTGACTGTCGCCTCGGCGAGTCTTCAGTTTGCTACCTGCTCCGTGGTCGTGCTTCGGCCGCGCTTGCAGTGGACACGAAAACAGAGCGCGGAAGTAGCCTGATCCACGAGGGCTCGTGGCACGGGGAGCGAACCCACGGTAATTTGATCTCCATGGGATCGCGGCCCTGGGAACCTGATCGCAGCGTAATGAACGAAGGTTTGTGGCCCTCTGGGCGCGGGCGCAACGTAAATTGCGATGGACTGTGGTCCTTGGAGAGCGAACGCAGTTTCATTTACGAGAGATCGTGGCCCTGGAAAGGCAAAGCAAGCGTAATTGATTTTAAGGCTCGATGCCTTCGGGGCGCGGATCCAGCATTTTCTTTCAGGATTGTGGCGGTGGGGGCGCGGATGCAGTGTAAGTTTCGATCGTGGCGCTCTGAAGTTCAGTTCCAGTGTAATTTAAAAAGGGTCGTGGCTCTTGGATCGCAGACCCAGTGTCATTTACCAGGTATCGTGTCCTTGGGAACACGGATCCACTGGAGAGGACTTACGAAACAGGGTGGGTCGTCCTTTGGCGCGTTCCGTGGCTGGCGCGTCCCCTGGCACGTCCCCTGGCTCGCGCGTCCCTCGGCACGCGTGCGGCGCGTCCCCGGACACGTTGGACGATGCATCCCTTGGCGCGTCCCTTGGCACGTTCCCTGGTGTGTCCCCTGGCGCTTCCCTTGGTACGTCCTCCCAGTGCGTCCTCTGACACGTTCAGTGGCGTGTCCAGTGGCGAGTCCCGTGGCACATGTTGGTGCTCGTCCACCGGCGCTCACCCTGCCCGTTAAGTGGCAGGTCCTGGCGCGTCCCTTGCCGCGTTCCCTGTTTGTTATTCGGGACGCCCCTCATCCTCATCGCAGAGCTAGAGACAAGAACGGCTAACATGAAAACTGCCAGCTTCCCAACATATGGAAACGAAAGTCCACCAAGCAGAAACTGCTGTGCATCCGCCCTCGGCTGGACGCAAACTAGCTGTGCTCGTGGGTACGTTGGGGATCATGCCGGGAGGACGATGCAATCATGGACGAGCTTGAGAACGCTACCGGGTGGACAGAGGTGCACGGCGTGGTAGTCGGTCAGAGTCACGATGCGCCAAGGCAGTACATGGGATGTGCATTCGGTAGACGACCATGGGGATGCAATGGTCGTTTCCCGCGCCGTGCTATATCGCGATAGCCCGAGATGGTTCGCAAACTTTTGGGTATTGAAGGAAGGACCAGTTTGGCTACCTGAGCAAATGTGAAGGATAAACTTGTCGCAGAGAGACGTTTCTGGTAATGATGGAGGGCGCACGGGCCGTGAACAATGCATTCGATGTCATATGTTCCGTTGGGGCACGGTGGTGTCCTTAGATCTCTGCGATTGTTGTCCCTTGCTTCTCGAGTCTTTTCTACGTTTGCTTCCCAGTGTGGTGCTTCTCCCCCATCCTATCTGTTTCACGTTCGCGTTGCCCCCGCTCCGTTCCTAGAACGACCGTGGCCTGGCGCATATACGAGCGTCCGTCTCCGTCCGTCCCTTGGCGCGCCCCTTGGCACGTCCCGTGGCAGGTCCTTGACAAGTCCATGGTACGTCTTCTGATACGTTCATTGGCACGTCTCCTGGTGTATCCTCTGGTCCGTCCCTGGCACAAGCGTGGCGCGTCCATGCGCCCTGCACCTCTTGTCGGTTCGTCCCAGTTCGGAAATGAATCGGATCTTGAGCCTGAGCTGTTTGAGCGCCCGGCGCGTTTCGACTAAGACCAGCACTGTGCGAGGCATGCGTACAGGCAGTTCGAGCTGAATATTCAAATCACTTCTGTCAAGATGCGGGCGCCAAAGACGACTGGAGCCACAGTTCAATAAAGCACAGCACAGTTCGACATAGCATGAGGCGGCACAGTTCAGCTCAGCACGGCGCCGCAGCATGGCACAGCGCAGCGCAGCACAGTCTCTGGGACGGTATCATCAGTATGGACGTCCTCGGCGCATCCACAGCCCATTGCCCAAGTCAGGGCAGTTCTGTATCCCTTGCCGGGTTCGTGGATCCACCGTGTCTTGATGTGGGCTTGGTCGGCCTCCCGACAGCTTCCCGGAGACGGTCTGCTCGCCCTGGGCCCAGGAGCCCGCAGACGCCGAGTCATACCTTTTCGTCGCTGTGGCACTGTCTCTTGCCCAAGACGTTGGCGGCTCGGGCCCAGGAGGCCGAGGAGGATGCGGCGTGGGGGGCGGCGCCGGCGGCGGACGCGTGGGGGCCGCCGCCCGCCGCCCCCGCGGAGCCCGAGGCGTGGGGCGCGGCGCCCGCGGCTGCGGAGGACGAGGGCGTGGAGTGGGGGTGCCCTTTCGGCCGAAGAGGACAGGCGACACCTCGGAGGTTGATGGACCTCCTACCCTGACACGTCGATTCAGGAATGGGCCGTTTTCGGTTCGCGAGAGGGCGCCGCGGCCGTCCTTTTTGCGGGTCCAGGTTCGCCGGTTTCGGTCCGAGGCCGTTTTCATGAAGGGGAGGTTTACTCTCGGGCCCGCCATTTTGCGCCAAGGCTCATCGGGGGCCGTAGCGTATACCACGCAGAAGCCAACGCCGGATGTCCTGGTATGCGCTAGGCCCCGTGGGGCAGTAACTGCTGTGGGGTGATGCCATGTGTTTTCGGGTCCGCCCTCTCTCGGCGGCGAACTCCGAACCCTGCCCTCGCCGATCCACGGTCCAGGCAATTCGAGGGGCGGCGGGGAGAGGGCTCGGAGTCCGTCGAAGACGTGGCGAGCTGCGAACCCTGCCCTCGCCTCCCATCAGTCCAGGAGAACCGATGGCTGGTGGAGGTCGGGTCCGGGTGCCGCCTGCTCTCGGCGAGTGGGGCGTCCAGAGTCCTGGAGACGTCGGGAGGTCACCCGCCGGGGGCGCGGAGGAGGACCGCGCTCTGCGCGCGCCGTGGTCTAGTAGCCAGGGGCGGCGTGGGAGCGCGAGGGCGCGGAGAGGACCGCGCGGCGCGCGCCGCGCCTCGCGGGGCGCGCCGTTCGCGAAGCCGGGTGACCCCGGGGACTCAAGACCACGCGTTTTCGTGTTTCGCCGTGCCCGGAGGCCATTTTCGGGCTCCAGGACCGTCAAACGTGGATCCCCGGAGTCCACTTCGATCCGATCGGTCCGATGTCGGTTCGATGTCGGTTCGAGATCGATTCGATGTCGGTTCCCTCTGGTTCGATCCGATCTGATTCGATTCCGTCCGATGTTCCGAGGGCCGGATGTGGCTCCATGTTTGCGTGGCATTGTTTGTGCATGCTGGCGCAGCCGACTCGGTGCTATGACGATTCCGTGCCGAAGCATCCCGATCCAACGCACATTCCGATTCTACCCGATTTTTAGATTCACTGATTCTGCCCTTAGAGCTGAGCTTCATGCCAAGTTCCGATGATGCATGAGGCTTCTCGATGCCTGCTTTCTTGGGAGCTTTTGTGAATGTATCCAGCTGCATGCGGCTCGTCCCGCCACCGTGCCAGCCCAGCACTCTGGCTGGCGGCTATTCGAGGAGCACGCAGGAAACCATAATGTGTGACACCTCGCGCCCCGAGGTCGTAACATGTGGCACGCTTTTCCGCGTCGTCAGGGTACCTCTCCTCGTGCTCGTCGTCTTCCTTCATCGTCTTCCCTCCTCCACGCTTGGGGCCTCTCGGGGGCTTCTGGGAAGCCTCTTGGAGGCTTCTTGGGGTCGTCTGCGGGGCCTCTCGGGGACGGGGAGGGGGAGGAGGAGGAGGAAGAGGAGGAGGAGGAGGAGGAAGAAGAGGAGGAGGAGGCGGAGGAGGAGGATGAAGAGGAGGAGGATGAGGATATGGATGAGGAGGACAAGAGGAGGAGGAGGAGGAGGAGGAGGAGGAGGAGGAGGAGGAGAAGGAGGAGGAGGAGGAGGAGGAGTTGGAGGAGCTGGAGGAGAGGGAGGAGGAGGCGGAATACTAGAATACTAGTACAAATAATTCTAATACTAAGACACATAATAAAGACGAAGAATACAACGAATACGCATACTCAGAACACGAATCAGAGACATGATAATTCGACGAATAAGAACTCTAAAGTGAGCTGGGCGTTGCATGTGAGTGGGAACGAGCGTGCATCCGCGGCTGCTTGGCTCAAAGCGGCCCGGCCGCCAAGATCTGACTACACCTCAGCGCGAGGTGTACCATTTGCCATCGATACCAAAACTGCCTGAGATGGCTCGCCCCCTACTACTGGGACTATCGTTACTACGGTACAACAGAGAGGGAGCTGGGCTTCGCCTAAGGCGAAGCTGCTGGTTGGGCCTCCCAACCTCTTTCAAACTTAAGAAACATTTTGCGGAGACGAACGAGATTCATACGAACACGAGCACTATCAATAATACTGGTACGGGTGCTAAAATGAAGTCGTATCATAATATTACTATTGATAAGAAGAGCGAGCATTCTACTACGAACTTTAGCACAACTAATCGTACTGATATTACTAATGCGACGCATGCTACCAATCTTAGCGCGAATCGTAGTCATACTTATACGACTGCTATGAATCATGCGAATACGATGAAACCGAACCACATGACTAAGAAACATACATACATGTTTTTAGGAACACGACTACTAGTAATAATACGTAATCAGACCATCCAACATGTTTATAATGAGAAGGAGGGGGGACCATGATGATGATACTGCTGATGATAATGCTGATGATGATGGTGATGAGGGTGAATCATGATGATGGTGATGATGCTGATGCTGATGAGGAGGCGGAGGATGCGAAGGCGGAGGCGGAAGAGGAGGAGGAGGAGACAGAGGAGGAGGAGGAGGAGGGGGAGGAGGAGGAGGAGGAGGAGGAGGAGGAATACTAATACTAATAATAAGAATAATAATAAGAAGAAGACGAAGAAGACGAATAAGAAGCATATTACGAATACTAAGAAAACTAATACTAATGAGAATAAGAAGAATAATAATACTCATAAGAAGAACGCTACTACGAATACTAATAGTAAGAATAATAAGAAGAATCAGAAGAATACTATTACTAAGAAAAAGGATAATAATAAGACGTTCACGAAAAGAAGAACAATAAGAAGAAAACACATACTAATACGAATATGAAGAAGAAGACGAAGACGAGGAGGAGGAGGAGGAGGAGGAGGAGGAGGAGGAGGGGGACGGGGAGGGGGAGAGAAGGGGGCTCTTTCCGCTCCTTGGGCAGTCTTGGGGCATTCTCGTGCAGCCTGGCGCCTGCGCGTTCCGTCCTGCGGGTCTCTTTTGGGGGTCATCTTTGGGCCTCTTTGATAATCTTGAGGCCATCTGGGGGCCGCCTTGAGGCCCTCCTGGGGGCCTCTTTGCGCCGTCCTGGGGCAATCTCGGAGGTCGCTCGGGCCGTCCTGGGCTTACAAAGAGCCGAACAAGGTGCGAATGCAGAAGCTCGCGTGCGAAAATCCGAACGCAATGGGAGCATCTAAGGTTTTTGCCTCGTCGGGCCCAATGGAAGATCTTCTTGAAGCCCCCTTGGGCCATATTTCGGGAGGCCGTCTTGGGCCTCTTGTGCCGTCTAGGAGACATATTGGGTAATCTTGGCGGCCTTGGTGGCGTGCTTGGGCTGTCTGAGAGGCCGTTTCGAGCATCGTGGAGGGTTCTACATGTCAGCTCGTCTTCACCCTATTGGCGGCCCGTTTGGGGGCCGTCCTTGGGGGCTTTTGGGGCCGTTTTGGTGGGACCTTTGCGGCCTCTTTTGCCGTCTTGGACGCTCTTAAGACCGACATGTGAAGACTCATACGGCACTGTAATGTTTTGCGCTGGCCCCTGGGGCCTCCGAGAGAGCCCAAGAGGCCGCCAAGATCGCTCCAGGACGGTCATTTGGGGCCGTCCCAGAGCTTGTCGGAGGTTGAGGACCGCGGCCACGCTCCCAAGGCCTCTGGAAAAGTAACGCGGTGAATCCCTGGAGCGCGCGAGAGCACCCCTGAGCGCCCGTGGCTTCGGGTCTGGCGCCTTCACAATACGCAGCGCAGAGGAACCCGAAGGGCCTGAGGACATTCCACTCAGCGCTTGCGGCACTGTGGCGGGCACTCGCCTCCACGAGGCCGCTGGCGGCCTCTGGGGGCCTGGGCTCCTCCAAGGACCTCTGGAGACCTCTGGAGTTGTGGAGGACGATCAATGGAGAGGAAGCATGTTGCCAAACACATTCCAGATGTCTAACACATGTTTAGAGCATCTTTCCTTCATTTCAAACACAGTTGAAGTTCAATGGTAGGACTGTTAGGGTGTCCGTTGTCGTGGCATCCACAACTCTGGAGGCACAGACATCGTGAACAAACCGTGGGGGAGCCTTTCGGGCCCCTGGGACCGTCAACAAGACAGTCTGGGGCGGAGCGCCGGGTCGCGCGGTCCAGGGGCCCACGTCACGTACAGATCGTGACGTCGGATGTCCAGGATCGGCGGCGAGCGCAGGGGGAATGCGGAGGGGGCGGGCCTTCTCAGAGGGCTCGGAAGGCCTCGGGCCTTCCAGAGATTTTCTAGACCTTCTCCGAAGACAGAGACGGTTTCTGAGACGGCCGCAGGGCTTCTGGGGAGCCCCACCGCCTTCTGAGATGGCATGTCACCTTGCGCTCCCCCCCGGGCTCGCCGCCGACAGGTGCGGCGAGGAGATCCCGGGGCTCGCGGAATGGCTGCGGGGCCTGGCGCTGCAGAAGTACGAGGCCCAGGTCGGGGGGCGCCATCTGCACACGCCAGCGCCGGCCCTGGCCGGGCCAGGCCCTGCAGGGCCAGGATCTTGGGTCACGCTGTGCTGGCCAAGCCAGGGAGCCCAGGCCTCGAGCGTCTTGGACAGATGGGGTCCGTCGACGGGCTCCTGGAGCGTCGACAAACTTCGATCGGGAGGATCATCTCTCTCTCTGGGAGTGGGGTCGAGAGTCCCGGGGCCCGCGTGCCGAAGGAATCGAGCCTCGACGTCCTGGGAGGAGGCGGGCACCGAGCCAAGGGCCCAGGCCAGGCCTGGCCCGGGAGCGGCGCGGGTGTGCGGTCGGCCTCCTCGCACCACGTGCAGGCGACCGCCTGGTGCCGCGAGATGGGTGCCGTGTCCACCCGGGAGGTGGAGGAGAACTGGGAGGAGTTCGCGGGCGCCCTGGGGCTGCGCCCTCTCGAGCGCACGCGCCTCAGGACCGGGGCAGGGAAAGGCGGCGTCGCCACCGCCAGCGGGACTGCGCCGAGGAGCGCAAGCACGGATGCAGGGCGCGTGGATCGGCGACGAGTCTGGCCCCCACACGGGGTCCAACACTGCGTCGCCAAGCGAGGCGGCGCTGGCCTCATATTTCGGGGGTGCTTCCCCGATCCACGGACTTGGCGCCCACGCGCCAGATCCACGGATCCTTATCCGCTGTTGGCGCGTGCCCGACTCCAGGGGAGGCCCACGAGGCCTCCCCGGGCGGGCCGTCGGAGGTGCCGCGAGCGGGGCGCCCCCGCAGCAGCCAGCCAGGTGAACGCTCGCTGGCCCATGGCTCGTCTCTGCGCTCGCAGTCGCGGAACCTGCAGTCAAACCGCATGGAAAGGATGGGCAACCTGCTCAAGGGTACTCTTGCGTCCTCGCCTCCTCGGCTCATCCTTCGCCACTCTCGTTGGCCGCGCCCCGCTCGGAAAGCTTCGAGCTGGGCGTCCAAGGCCCTTACATCCGTGTCGCGGATCCTTACTATACGGGTTGACGGTGTTCCCGCGAGTCCAATCGACGCTGGGGCTTCGTACACCCCCGCTGGGTCTCACTTGGCTGCAGACGTCCTTCAGATCGAGGACGCCAGCGGCGCATCACCGGCCGCTCCCTGGGAGTTTGTCGAAGTGGTGCGCAGCATCGAAAGTCGTGACGCGGCGCGTATGCCAGCTATTAAATAGCCGTCGTCCCATCCCGCCACCGTGCTTGGGTTTTGGGTCGGAGTCCCCATGGACGCTTCCTGGGGCCTCTCGAGAGGGCTCTCGGAGGCCTCTGCGGGGGAGTTTAGGGGCAGGGGAATATTCAAACATAGCCAAAAATAGTCGGGACTATTTTTTGTTGCTATTTTTGAATCTTTGGGGGGTATTTTTTGAATATTTTTTCGTCTAAGATCCCCCTGTAGGGGGACACGCCCGACTCAAGGCTATTTTGGTGCAGCTTGGAGGCCATCGTGGTCCTCCTGGTCCAGGCCATCATGTGCAATCTTGGGGCTGTCTTGATGCCTGGGGCTTGTCTGGAGGGCATCTTGGAGTTTTTTTTTTTTTTTTTTTTTTTTTGTTTTGTTTTTTTTTTTGTTTTGTTTTTAATTTTTATAGGATCGGGCGATAACCCGGGTTATCAGGCTTGCCCCCTCCCCCCCCCAGGATAACCTAACCTTGCCGGTTGTGCAGGTCCGCGGGAGGGGGGGCGCGGGCATATGCAGGGCTGCCCACAGCACGAGGGTTAGGTTATCGGCCGGCCCCTTCCCCCCCGCCCCTCCCCGGGATAACCCGGGCTATCGCCGATTCAAAAAACACGGTCCTTTTGGCACTTGTTGGCACATTCTTGGAGGATGGGGTGGCATCTCGTGGCCTTTGGGGCCACTGTGGGGCCGTCTTAGGCAGTCTTGGGGTCTCCCGGGGCTGTCTTGAGCCGATCTCTGGACACTCTGGAGCAAGGCGTGGGACGGGCAAAAACACTTGGTGCCTTCCATCCTCGGCCATCTTAGCAGCATCTTTGGGTTCTTTTCGGCAGTCTTGGGCTCTTGAGGCCTTCCTTCTTCGGAGCCTCCGTGGAGCCGCCCTCGAGGCCTCTTGGGCCGCGCTGTGGCGTCCCAACGCGAGCCCTGGGGCAAGCCAGAGCGGCCCAGAGCGTGAGGGATCTTCCGCGTGCTGTTTTCGCCGCCGCGGGCCCCCCAGAGAGGAGACAAGACTGGAGAGACAAGAGAAGAACAGTCCAGACAACACAGAGAACACAAGACAGCAGTCCAGCAGCAACACTCACAGCCTGGCGACCTCAATGGGGTCGGCGGATTATGACCCCCCCCCCTGGTGCTTCAGAACTCCGGCTTGAAGGGGTAGTGTTCACATGTGGCTGCCTAGCCTCGCGATGGTGGAGGTGGCGGTGTCGCCGTTCCCTGTTCCTCTCAGGAAGAGAGCCACTGCTGGTGCCGCTTAGCCACTCGGCCGCTCCTGGGCGGCGCCTTGGCGCTGCACAGCTGCACAGACTGCCCCAGCGGCTCGCAGAGTGTGACTTCTCCTCCTGCTCCGCCGCCCCCCCCCCCTCCCCTCCCGTCCCCGCCTCTCTCTTTCCGAAGAACAGAGTTGTGGAAGTCGATGAATGGAGAGGAAACAGGCTGCCAAATAATTTCCAGATGTCTAAATGTCTAAAAGATGTTTCAGCTATGTCCTAACTATATATATATATATATATGTATATGTATATATTTATATGCTAATATATGCTAAAAACAGGCTTGAATCATGTTTATGATTTGTTTTACACATGTTGAACTCATCTTTAGCTCAAGGATAGGATCGTTCGAGTGTCCATCGTCATTCATGGCATCCACAAGAACAGAGACATGCATGCAACAAGCTCTCCGAGGTGCGCGCGGATTTCTTAGATCGGCGCTGGGCCCCCGTGGCGGCGCCTCCGGCGCCGCCCCCGGCGCGCTCCGGAGTCCGGCGCCGACCCGAGAAGTCCGCGCGGACCTCCGGCAGGTTGTGTTGTGTTAGCGCATGCTCTCGAAATTCTGTCCGCCTCGGCTTCCTCCTGATTTGATCCTCCTGACCCTCTTCCTGCTGCAGTGCCCCTTCCATCCATATCCACTGTGCTCCTCTTTGATCCTCCTGATGCCTTCCTGCTGCAGTGCTCCTCTTTGATCTTCCTGATCCACATCCACTTCCACATGCTTGCAAGGGCCATCCTGGTTCACGTGGGGGTCGATAAGGGTGCGCGCTATTGCGGATGCCGAGGGGGATTCGCTTATCAGAGCAGGCTCGATGCCGGGCAGCTCTGGAAGCACTCCGGGCGGGAGAGCACCGAAGGCGGGATTGCAGGGGCCGTATACACTGGCGCTCTTGAAGCTCTCTCGGGCCAGTTTAGGGGGGGCCTCTAGGGCTTGCTCGGGACCCGCCAAGGGCACCTCTGGAGCCATCGCAGACCAAACATCGTGGAAAGCGAGCAGACCAAAGTTCCCGTGTGAGGGTTGTTGGACTTTCTTTTTGTGGATCCGTTCCGTGCGTGCCGTGCCGTGCTTCCGCGCCGTGTCGTGTCTGATTCCGTGTAAGTTCTTCGTTCTTCGTTGTGTGACCGCGTTCTTCCCCAAAGCGCTTAGCGCCTGATTGCGAGGGGCGCGCGGCGTGCTGCGCCGTGAGCAGACGGGGCCACTTTGTCATTCCGTTGCGTGGGCGTGCCTTGCCGTGCTTGCGGTCAGAGCGGGTCGCCTCGTGATGTCGTTGCGCGGGCGCGCCGCTTCGTGGGCCAGGGAGAGAGCCACGTTCGTAGTCATCTGGCACGGGCGCGGCGATGTGCTCGTGGTGGCTTGCGGTGTCTGCAGGTTCTCGTGGAGTCCTGCGGTGCCTGTGGTGCTCGGGGGCGCCCGTGGTGTCGTGTGGCTCCTGTGATGTGCCTGCGGCGGAGATGGCGGCTGAGCCAAAGTGCAGTCGTGCCTTTGTTCGTGACTCCTGGAGGTGCAGTCGGGACGCCCCAGTTTCTGCGCCGTTCCTGAGAACTGAGTCGGGGAACCGATTCATGGCCAAGGCTCGCCGTGGCCAGAAGTGCCCCCCCTGTTCCTCGTTTGGCGCTCCCAGCGGCAGCACGATGGCTCCGAGGCGGCGGGAGCCCCCCCTCCAGTCGGAGCAGCACTTCCAAGAACGTCAAGACCGCCCTCCTCCTCCACGTCTTCGGAAACTGGAACACATACATTACCAGTGGCGTGTTGTTTTTTCAATCCCACGATTTTTTGAGGGTCGGGGACGACGTCGGGGTGGTATGGTGTATGCGTCTCCCCGTTTTCCAAGGGAAACGACGAAATATGTATACACCAGGATCCCGTATACACCAGGATCCGCGTTCCTGTGCGAATTTCGGCGCAGGGTCGGAAAAAGCGTCGGCGTATATAGAGCTCGTTTCCCTATCAAGACCGTCCTCCTCCTCCACTTCTTCCTCCTCCTCCTCCTCTTCTTCTTCTTCTTCTTCTTCCTCCTCCTCCTCCTTCTTCTTCTTCTTCTTCCTCCTCCTCCTCCTTCACCCCCTTCTTGCTGGGACCGGAGGTGGCCCCAGCGCACGGTGGATGGGTGCCGGCGCGTCTCTCCCTGCGTTCTGCGATGCCCCGTACCAGGGACGGCCGTTGCTCGCGGCAGGCGGCAGCCATCCCCCTCTCTTCCGTGGCTTCAGGAGGGAAAATACACAGACACAATTTTATCGTCGATTCCTTCGTAAAATATGGGAAGATATTGGAAGTGGGGGAGAAGACGAAAATCCAGGAAATATGGGAAAGTGTGGGGAATCCTGTCATTTGTGTGTATTTATTTGTGTGTCCCAGGGCCCCTTCCCTGGTTGTCTCTCCCTCACCACCACACGTGCCAGTACGGCAGGCTTTTTACTTATTCGCACGAAACGTCCTCACTGCTCATGGCATTGAAGCTGGAAGTTTGCGCCGTTCACACGGAGGGAGGGCGGATCGCTTTCAATATCGGATTATCGCCCCAGCGTCGTTCACATCCGCCTTACGTAAGTGTGTCACGCATGTGTGCGGATAGAGGGCGAATCGTTTCAACATGTGGCCCTCGCCGTAGTTCAGCGCAGATCCGTGTTAGATGTTTACGGTAGTTCAAGGGGTCGAGGGTTGGAGGGGGAACGGGTTTCAACATAAACGCTTTCAACATCGCCAGAACGGAGGGCGGGCCGTTTTCGAAATGGTTGTTTTGCTTTAGACCTCACCCACATTTTTAATTCGGCATCTTGCATAGCGCAACAGTTATACTGATTGAATATGGTTCCTTTTCGAACTGGGGTTCTCTCGCTAGACTCTCTAGATTTTTGCCTTTGCATTACCACAGCTAACAGGATGCAGCTCCTTGTCAAAGCGAAGCTCACGCGTGAATGGGAGGGCCAGGTGTCGGTCGGCTGCCAAGGGGGCACTTATCGTAGTGAGCAGCTCTGCTGGTAGAGACTTTTGAGGAGGAAGCTCTGGACAGGAGGATATTGCAGCGTCCTTCGTACATCCTGGGTGAACTCTGGTCCGCCTCCTCCCTGCTATGGAGCAGGGAATCTCCTTCCTGGGCCCCAGGTCCCAGACGCCGGATCCCAGATGGCCACGTCGTGCCGCACCTTGGGGAGCGCGTAGTAGGGGGGCGATCACTTGGGGGGCAGCGGGGGCTTCAGAAAGTGGCCCTGGTCTTTAGGGCCCAAAGGACACCTTTCTCCCCTCCCCATTTGTCGCCCCGCACTGACTCGCGCCCAAGCACCCTCCCCTTGGCCCTTGGCACGGCTGCCCGGGAACTACAACTTGCTGGGTTGGAGCGCCGCTGCCGTTGACACCTCGAAGGCGGAGCCCCGGACGCCAGGCCGGCCCCTGGCGCGCGGTGCCGGGCCCGCGGGCCCCGAGTCCTGGACTGTGGAGCCCCCTGCGGGCCCCAGGGGGGCCCTGCTATATATAGCTGGGCCCCGGGCCCGCGGGCGGGCCCGCGGCCCGGGGCCCTGGATGGCCAGGCCCCCGCCGGCCCCAGGCCCTTTGCACCTCGGCCCATGGGCCCGGGGCGCCAGGGTCCCGGGCCGTGGTGGGCGCCGGGCCCTGGGCCAGGGTCGGCAGCTCCCGCGATGCTAGGGCGCGGAGAAGCCCGAAGCCGCTGGCGCGCGTAGCTTTGGGATGGCGTCGGTGTGCGCTTCGCACTTACAGTTTTCAGCGCTCGCGGCACATTCGGGCGGAAGCTGACAAACACAGCGACGCCTGGGGTGCAAGTGCCAGCGATGTCAGGCAAGCGGGCCGTGTAATCTCAAGTGCCAGTCGACATTGTTACGTGACATTGCAGTGGAAGCTCACGTTCACGTGCGCTTAGGATCCGTAGGGAACGCTTGCATCTCGACCCGAAGGCCGTGCCAATCTAGAAGTCGGGGGGCAATGGGCCACGTGTCTGGTACAGCAACGCCAACGTCATGTATGGACTGCTTCTTCCGCAGGAGTGGGAGCAGGAAGAGACGGGGAGGAGGAGGAGGAGGAGGAGGAGGAGGAGGAGGAGGAGGAAGGAAAGGGACACGGAAACTGGAAACCTCAGATCTCGCCTTCGGGGGCCTTCAGAGGAAGGCCCCGCAGCGACGCGCAAATACTGGCTCAGCTGGTCAATCCTTGAAGCAGTCTTCCATGATTGCACATTGCGTTGAAGATCCGAGTTCAATCTGCTGCGCAAGCACAGCCTATCACTATTTCTGATTTTTTCAGATCGGCCCTCTTGCCTCTCCTCTGCTTCACCCGTGGTAATCTTCCCATTAGGAGGAGCTTTCGCTGTCCTGTCCGGTTCTGTCCTGTGCCTCTCTCTCTCTCTCTCGTTCTCGTTTTTTATCCCTCTCTCTCTGCTTTTTATCTCTCTCATCCATGTCTCCCTCCCCTGTATCCCCTTCCTCCCCCTCCTCCCTCCCTCCCTCTCTCCCCCCTACGTCGCAATCCCACCTCCCCCTCCTTGCATACGATCTCCGCTCTCCCCTGCCCCCCCCCGCCTCCGCGAATCCAGTCCGCGAAGCATAGATGCCCTTCTAAACATTTTCTCATTGAAGCAAGCTTGGTGCCGGACATGCCCTTGCTCTTGCAGCGGCTCTCTTCTGCTTTACAACGTCCTCTTGCTAGACGAGGGCTGCGGCGTCCGATGGTTTCTGGAGCAAGCGGAGGAGGAGGAGGAGGAGGAGGAGGAGGAGGAGGAGGAGGAGGAGGAGGAGTAGGAACGGAGGAAGAGGATGATGACGATGATGACGATTGTGATGATGATGATGATGATGATGATGATGCTGCTGTTGCTGCTGCTGCTACTGCTGATGATGATGATGATGGTGATGATGATGATGATGATGATGATGATGATGATGATGATGCTGCTGATGATGATGATGATGATGATTATGTTGATGATATGATGCTGACGATGCTGATAATGATGATGATGATGATGCTGATGATGATGATGATGATGATGATGATCATGATGATGATGATGATGATGCTGCTGCTGATGATGATGATGCTGATGATGATGATGAGGAGGAGGAGGAGGAGGAACATGATGATGATGATGATGATGATGATGATGATGATGATGATGATGATGATGATGATGATGATGATGATGAAGATGAAGATGAGGATGCTGCTGATGATGGCGAGGAGGAGGGGGAGGAGGAGGAGGAGGAGGAGGAGGAGGAGGAGGAGGAGGAGGAGGAGGAGTTCGCGAACGCTTTTGGACGACGCGCAGCCACACCCGTGGCGAAACTGCGGATGCCCACACCCAGGTGGGGGGGAAGGCCTGCAGAGTGGGCGGGGCGCGCGGGCGGCGGGCCGCACGCCGAGCACGGGGCCGGCACCCACGGATCCTGCATCCCGTGCGCGGCCACGAGTCCTGCGTCCTGTGCGCGGCCACCTCCCCGGAGAGCGGCGAGGCGGCCCAGCGCCGCCTTGAAGTGCTCGCAGGCTCTGTCGGCTGCCTCGGCCTGCTTCCCTTCGTGACGTCAGGGTCGGCGTCCCCGACGTCGTGGAGCTCGGGCAGGGCCCACAGCCGGAGGACCTCTGCTCTCCTCGGGGCGGTCTTGGTGGCTGCCTCCTCCTAGTTTCTCCCCGCCTGTTGCTTGGCGGGCAGGTCCTGCCATGGCCCGCCTGCTGTACCGGGTCCGTGGTGCGGCACCTCGCTGCAAGGGGGCGGCCGGCAGGCGCTGGGCGCATCAGGGCCCCTGGTGATCGTGCTCTCCAATGCTGCGGCGTCCTCCGGCGCCTGGCCGAAATCGGCGTGGGGCTCAGTGTCCTCGTCGCTCTGGGTGGCCGCGCCGGAACCACGGGGCCAGGATTCATGCACTCCCTCGGGGGGGTCGTGGAGCAGCTGCTGCGGCTGGGCGGGCGGCTCGGGCCTTGCTGGCGCGGCAGGGCCGGCTTTCCGCACCTCGGCGTCCCAGCAGGGTAGTGCCGACGTGGCTAGCGCAGCGGCTCGTGGCGACGGCCTTCCAACGCCGCCCTCCTCCTCGTGGCCGTCCGCGGACGTGTGCTTTACCTTGATGTCGGTGGCGAGGTGCGGGCACCCCGAGTGCGCGGTGCTGCTGGGAGGCGGCGTCGGAAATTGTCTGCTGCACTTGCACGTGTGGCCCATCCTCTTGAGGCCGTCCTGGCAGATCATGGTGCCGCACTCGCAGTACACCCTGATCCTCACCCTCTTCCTCTTCTCGTGCTTGGCTGGCGGCTTGACTGCACTGCTCGCCGCCTTGGTGGTGGTGATGCTCGGGCACTAGCTTGGTGCCCGACCCTGACAGTGGCGCTATCCTCCGCCGCCCGCCATGGCCCGCCCGAAGGAAGCATCCGAAGGCTGCGATGCTCGGGCCGAAGCTTGTGGAAGAGCAGGAGGAAGAGGAGGAGGAGGAGGAGGAGGAGGAGGAGGAGGAGGAGGAGGAGGAGGAGGAGGAGGAGGAGGAGGAGGAGGAGGAGGAGTTGGAGGAGGAGGAGAAGGAGGAGGAGGAGGAGGAAGACCAGTGTAAACCCAAGAGTCACCACAGATGTTGGAATACACCCTCCCCCCAAACTCCCTCTCCATAGGCCCCTACAACGGTTCATTTCCACAGAAGGACCTGCCTCGTTGGAAGACAATCGTTTGAAGACCCTGAAGCGTGCCAAAGCATTATTCTCGGTATTCCAACGCAACGGGTGAATCTGACTGTTGCGTCTTGACGATTTAGAATCGTGCCAGAACGCCATTCCTGGGACCTCAACGTCCGCGAATCATCGTTACTGCTGCGCCCTCGAAATCGTGAACCTTTCCAAACACCATTTCTGGCACGTGATCTTGGGAACACGTGAAACCCTTGCAATTTGTGAATAATAATGTGCGCGGCGCTAAGGCGAGAGCCACGTTTTGAAAACGATCCGGCCTCAATCCGTGAAGCTCTTGCAAATGTTTAAAACGAATGTGCGCGGCGCTGAGGCGAGAGCCACATTTTGAACACGATCCGCCCTTAACCCGTGAAAGTCTTGCACATGTCCAAAACGAGTGTGCGTGGCGATAAGGCGAGAGCCACATTTTGAAAACGATCCGCCCTCAATCCGTGAAGCTCTTACACAGTTTTAAATAATGTGTGCGGCGCTAAGGATAGAGCCACGTTTTGAACACGATCTGCCCTTAATCCGTGAAAGTCTTGCAAATGTTTAAAACGAATGTGCGCGGCGCTGAGGCGAGAGCAACATTTTGAAAACGATTTGCTCTCAATCCGTGAAGCTCTTGCAACTTTTTAGAAGAATGTGCGCGGCGCTATGGGGAGAGACACATTTTGACAACGACCCGCCTTCAATCAGTGAAACTCTTGCAGATGTTTAAAACGAATGTGCGCGGCGCTAGGGCGAGAGCCACATGTTGAAAACGACCCACCCCACATCTGTGAAACTATTGCCGATTTTGGAGCTCCAGGGTCATACATGGTGAGGAAGTCTCGGCCGAAACGCCCGGCCCGCCCTAAAAACTGGCCTCGGGGTGCGACAGGGAGAAGTTATTTATAAGGAGAAGGAACGAAGGAGGAGGAGCAGGAGGAGGAGGAGGAGGAAGAGGATGCAAACAGGGAGGAGGAGGAGGAGGAGGAGGAGGAGGAGGAGGAGGAGGAGGACGAGGACGAGGACGAGGACGAGGAGGAGGACGAAGACGAGGACGAGCAGAAGGAGCAGGAACGGGACCAAGACCCTGGATCTTCGAGACTGGAGCCTCGACGGCGATGACGAGGGCCCCCCCCTCAGCGGGGCGGCGAGGCGGCGAGTGCCCCGCGCAGCGGCAGCTGGGCGCCCACGGCGCTTGCGACCCGTCCAGGGGCAGCGAGCTGCTGCTGCCCGGGCACCCGAAGGCTGCTGGGCGGGGCCGGGGCCGTGCCTCGCAGGCGATGTTTGTCTCCCCACCCCCCCGACTTTTCGACGAGAGGTAGAACCGCTCTGAAAAGGCAGGCGATCCTGGGATGCATCCCAGCGGGGGCCATTCGGACGCACCCTGATCGAGGGTGGACGCCCCCCCATCGTATATTCCAGGGTGGGGCCCACAAGTTCTGGTTCGTTCGACAACCTCACGAAGCCCCTGTTCATGCCGGGGGCGTCGGATCTGGGGCGACGTTTTCCGCTCAGGAAGTTTCTGATTCTTGTTGGGGGAGAAGTACGGAAGTTTTTCGGGGCCATGTATTGTTTCCATCGGCTGCGCCTCGTGCGGAGCGCTGCGGGGGCGCCAGAATCGTCCCGAACGGCCGCCGAAGGCCCGCGTCATGGCCCGAAGACCAGGGACATGTTGCTTAGCGCGTCGCGTCGCCCGTTCTTGCCCACCACGCTGCGGCGCGACACGCCATCCACGCCCTGGTCCCCGGGCGTCAACGTCCCGAGCCTTTCGAAGCCTCCCGCCCCGCGACCTTTAGGGGCCAAGTTATGAGCAAGGTTTTAAGCTTTTTCGGATGGCTTCTGAAGTCTCTGGGGTCCAAGGTGGTTTCCACAAGGGCTGGACCTAAACTGTGTTTGGCGATTTCGTGGGCCGTTTTCGTTTTGACTTCGTTTTGCGGTACAGGCGGATTGAAGACAAAACGAGGGAACACGAACACAAAACGAACACGAAACACACCGCTCAGGTGCAGCCCTGGTGTCCACCAGCTGCGCCTCGTCGGGAGCGCTGCGGGTGTGCCGGAAACGTCCCGGACGGCCGTTGGAGGCCCGAGTGATGTCCCGAAGACCTGGGGGCGCAAGGCCAGGGGCAGCGCCAGGAAGGGGGGGGATCGGCTCAGGCTTGGCATCGCTCGGGCGTGTGCATGTTTCCTTCGGCGAGGACCATCGAGGAGCATCCTTGATCATTTGGCGAAGAAGCCGCGCACGAAACTGAAAAAAGCACAGGGAATAGACGTCCGAGCGATGACGAGCAGGGGGGAGCGAATGGGTGCCCGATCGCCCACTCAGCGCCGAGAGGGGCCCAACAGCCCACCCCGCTCAGGAGCGTGTGCATTCGCTATCGGGGGCCTCTCGCCGACCTATCGGTGATGCATCGCCGATTCCAACTCGATGCCCCCTCCCTCGGGGCCTCTTCCCCTGGAATGCCCCCCCTCATCGATGAGGGTGGTGGACTGGTGGCGTGTGTCCAGATCTCCCGAATGGGGCCAGAGTAGATGGGGGCGCCTTGGAGAAATACGGGGGCAGTAATTGTCACGGGTAGCGCTTTTCTGTCCCGGCCGCTTGGTTGATGCAGTCTCGCGGAGGGAATTGTGCGCTCGGCGAAAATCAGGGCCGCATCGCCGATGCATCGGCGATGCGGCTCGATTTGTAGCCCGAATTTATTCATCCCGACGCCGCCGGTGCATCGGCGATGCGGCGGCGATGCGGCGCGATCTTACGAGCCCATCTGCTCAGACCCTGTCTGGTAGGCCTCCAGTGTGGAGGCCCAGATGGGGTAGGAGGATCTCGCCGTATCGTCGATGCATCGGCGATGCGGCTCGATGTGGAGCCCGATTCTGTCCACGCTGGCGTCGCCGATGCATCGCCGATGTATCGGCGATGCGGCGCGATCCTCCGACCCCACCTGCTCGGACCCCATTTGGGAGGCCTCTGTTTTATCTCCATCAGCCCTTTGGCCCTCCCCCGTTGTCCGTGCACATATCTCGGGCCATGATGCGCTAACCATCTCTTCCCCACCGCCTTCTTCGGCGCACCCGACCGCGGCCCCGTTGTTGCCGTCGTCGAGGGTCAGGGGTTCGAGGTTCGAGGATCGACGACGTCGGCGTTGTCGTTTCAGAGGTTTACGGGAGCTCGTGCTGTGCACGTCCTCTCCTAACGGGGAGGCCCTCTTCCATTTGACATTGTCTTGTGGCCTTCGGCCCATCCAGCCACCGTACCCGAGTTGTGGTCCAGCGGCATCTTGGGACGCCTCCAGGGGGCCTCTCGGAGGCTTCTTGATAGGGCTGCTGGGGCCTCCGAGGGGGCTTCTTGGGGTCCTCTCGGAGGCCTCTTGGGGACACTTGGCGCTTCGGGGGGGGCTCTCTCGGAGGCATCTTGGCGTGATCTTAGGTCCATCTTGGAGTGGAAGGCTCGAACACTCGCTTCGCTCGCCCCCTCTTTGCCCCCCCTTGGCCGTTTTTGGGGGGTCTCTGGGGGGCTCCTTCGGGCGTTGGGAGTGTCTTGGAGGCCTCCACAGGGCTCCCTGGAGGCCTCTCGGGGGCCTGCGGGCGGTCTCGGGGGGCATCTTTGGGGGCAGGCGCAGACCAGCTCAGGCTCCCCCTCTTGTCGGGCCGAACCAGAAGGAGGGGGATAGGGGAAAGGGGGGAATGCGAAATCTGCTGCGTGCAGCTGGTTTCGGCCCCACCGAGGGGCCCATTCCTCGACACATGGCCGCCTCCGGCGCAGGCGCTGGGAAGATCAGCTACGTGAGCTGCTTCTCAAACACCCCCTTTGCTATTTCCCCTTTTCGCCCAGCCCGATCTTGAGTCCCTCTCGGAACCCTCCTGGGGCCTCTTGGGCCTTCTTGCCAGCCTCCTGGGCCGCCATGGGGGCACTCTGAGCCGGTCTCGGGGCCCACTTTTGGGGGCCCTCCTGGGCCGTCTTGGGGCAAGACTGGTTGCGCCTTCGGTCGTCCCGGTGCGCTGGGAGCCCCGAAAAAGCGAGAATGCTAAAGTCATTCAAGAGTTTGAGGGGAGAGATTTGTGCGTCTTGGGGCCCTCTTGGGGGTCCTCTTGTGGCCATCTCGGGGCGTTTTGATAATCTTTTGGACTATCTCGAGTCCGTATTGGGAGTCTTGGAGCGTTCTTGGGCCGTCTTGGGACCCTCTTGGACCGTCTTGGCCGCCTCTTGGTCGCTTTTTCGGCCCGCTGGTCTCTGGGAAAGTGACGCGACTGGCTTCAGGAAACATGCGGAGCGCTCCAGGAGGCACTCGACAAACCTGGGACTTGGGCCTCTGGGCTCTTCAGGACTGCGTGCAACATGTATTCGATTTTGAGGATTGAGGACTCCCGAGAACCTGATGACACTGCACTTTGTGCCTCGAAGCACCGTGGCGGATTTGACCCAACACTGCTTCGACTGCCCACAACGAGCCGGCTCTTTGAGTAAGCTATCATTCCGCCTGCGATTTGCGAGGCCCCGGCCGGCTTCGCCCGCTCCGCTCTCGAGGAGCCCAGGCGATCGCCTGGTAGAGCGTTCCGATTTTGATTGCCTTGCTCTTTCTCCCGCCCCCACTCGACGACGACCAAGGCGGTGCTGACGATCACGAACATGTACTGGACCGACGCGTGCGACCTGGTCACCCGCTGCGGGCCCGTGGACGCAGAGGAGGCTGGCCACGATAGCCGATCGTGGAAGGATTCTGCCGATTCTCAGACGCCGTTCGGCACCGCGAAAGTCCAGACATTCTGCGGATCGTTTTTTTTCCCAACCCTCTTTGTTTGGGTATTCGTTTTGAATAGAGCACTGTTCGCTCGTCCTTCCTTCCTTCCTTCCTTCCTTCCTTCCTTCCTTCCTTCCTTCCTTCCTTCCTTCCTTCCTCCCGTCTCCTCCCATCTCCTGCCCTCTCTTCGCCGTCCGTTGGGGGCTGCGATCTGCGACACGGTCGCCACTTTCGAGGGCTGCTGGTGGGTCCAGCGGAGTGAGGCACCTCGCAGACCTGAGCGGGACCTCGCCGTCCGTTGGGGGCTGCGATCTGCGACACGGTCGCCACTTTCGAGGGCTGCTGGTGGGTCCAGCGGAGTGAGGCACCGCGCAGACCAGAGCGGGACCTCGCCGTCCGTTGGGGGCTGCGATCTGCGACACTGTCGCCATTGTCAAGGGCTGCTGGTGGGTCCAGCGGAGTGAGGCACCGCGCAGACCAGAGCGGGATCTCGCCGACCCTGGGGGCCTGCGATCTGCGACACGGTCGCCACTTTCGAGGGCTGCTGATGGGTCCAGCGGAGTGAGGCACCGCGCAGACCACAGCGGGACCTCGCCATCCGTTGGGTGCTGCGATCTGCGACACTGTCGCCACTTTCGAGGGCTGCTGGTGGGTCCAGCGGGGTGAGGCACCGCGCAGACCTGAGCGGGACCTCGCCGTCCGTTGGGTGCTGCGATCTGCGACACTGTCGCCACTTTCGAGGGCTGCTGGGGGGTCCAGTGGAGTGAGGCACCGCGCAGTCCAGAGCGGGACCTCGCCACCCTTGGGGGGCTGCGATCTGCGACATTGTCGCCACTTTCGAGGGCTGCTGGTGGGTCCAGCGGGGTCAGGCACCGCGCAGACCTGAGCGGGATCTCGCCGTCCCTTGTGGGCTGCGATCTGCGACACGGTCGCCACTTTCGAGGGCTGCTGGTGGGCCCAGCGGAGTGAGGCACCGCGCAGACCAGAGCGGGACCTCGCCGTCCGTTGGGGGCTGCGATCTGCGACACGGTCGCCACTTTCGAGGGCTGCTGGTGGGTCCAGCGGAGTGAGGCACCGCGCAGACCTGAGCGGGACCTCGCCGTCCGTTGGGGGCTGCGAGCTGCGACAGGGTCGCCACTTTCGAGGGCTGCTGGTGGGTCCAGCGGGGTCAGGCACCGCGCAGACCTGAGCGGGACCTCGCCGTCCGTTGGGGGCTGCGATCTGCGACACCAGGAGTTCAGCTGAAGATTAGCAGTAGTAGCCTTGTCCCGTCGCAGATCCAGCGTAGACCTCCATCTAGGGGAGACGGGCTGCGATCTGCGAAACTGTCGCTGGGTGCAGGGGGAGTTGCGGAGGGCCAGCTTAGCGGCGTCCTGCCGCGGGTTCAGAAAATGCGTCGTCGCGTGGGAATTTGGGTTCGAGGGAGCCATGTTATGTCGTTGCTGCCACGCCGTCGTTTCAAACCCGTTGCCCGCCCTCTCCGTTTGGAGTTTGCCTGAGTGACTCTGGGGTTCACTTAGTTACTCATCTCTACCACGCTTTTTCCGTTGATCGGGGACCTGCGAACCTCCCGAATGCCGTTCGCAGAAGTATATGCGTCCATGCCACGTCGTCGCCCTCCCATCCAATCTCCCAAGCTACTCCTGCCCTGCACTGCGAAGGGGTTGGGCACGTCGCCAGGGTAATTTCACTCGCTGTGTTTTCGGGGGGGGGGGGGAGGGGGGCATTTGTCCGTCGCTATCCAGGGCGAGCACAAGGCCCCCGTGGGAGGGGTCGAAACTTCTGTGGCCCGGGTACTGAGGAACACACCCATCGCCAGATGCCTGGGTCCTTGAGACGACCCGTTTGTCCAATGCAGTTTTGGACCTCTGGGGGCCTGCTTAGAGCCAAGGAGATGTCACCAACGATTTGGAACGAGAAGCGTTCGCAGATATCGGGTCGAGAGGTCTGCGATGCCCGCCTGTTCAAACAACACGACGTCCGAGTTCTGAGAGTGCACTTCTCGCTGGGAATGAGAAAACACTGCGCTCTCAGAAGATGTCCGCTGGACTCCTTCTTCGCTTCTAGGTCTATGGGGCGCACCAACACATCCATGCTGTCTCGGAAATGTCACTTCCACTTTCATGCTGCAGCGATTATCACTACTTGCCTGCTGAGGGTCAGGGAGCTCAGCGGGGTTGTGATGGATTGTCGCCTTGCCCACCCCTGCGCCCTTCTTCCGCTCTTCCTCCTCCTCGCCCTCTGGCTCAAGTTAAATATCTCGTTCCAACCTGGTCTTTGCCTACGCCCGAGATCATCGACACCATGTGCAGCATCCTTGCCGACATCTACGCGCCTTGGAAAGACTTCACCATCAGCAGCGTGGCGCGGTACCTTGGTGTCTACATAGGTCCAGGCGCATCTCTTGACCTTCAATGGCGTGGACCCGCCACCAAATGGTGGGACAGACTCCAGATCCTCGGTGACTCCCACGCCCCCATCCAGCAGAGCATCAGATTATACAACTCCGCCGCCGTGACGCGTCTTTCGTACGTGGGCCAGCTCTTCCCGCCTTCCCCCTTGTTCTTGGCCAAAGAGATCCATGGCTTGCACAAGCTGATCCGAGCGGCACCCTCGAGCTCCACGAAGATGGACATCCAGTCGTTCTCCCAGTGGGCCTCCACCACGATGCCGCAGGGCCTCGAGACATTTCTTGCTGCTACTAGGTGGCGCGCTGCCACCACTACCGTCACAGGCTGGCAGCCCCTACTACGTGACCATCATGATCTTGCCTACGAACGTCTTCCGCTACGCCAAGTGATAAGTGGCCAGTGGTCTGCTGACTGTTGGGTTGACGAGACCTCGATTGCACAGCGCTTCGACGCCATTACCAACCACCAGCTGTTCCCGACTGGCAACGGCTCGATCTTCAAGGCCATCACCCGTTCGACTGGAGCGACGTTGTGCGCCGCCTCCACTCAGTCGTGCTCACCGGCTTGCCGCGCTAGCTGGACACCAAGCGATTGCTGCTGCCAGTTGTGACAGGGCTGGTCCGAACCACACCAGGCACCGCGGCAGGGTGCAAGAGTCTCACTCCACCACGACACGGGCAGCCCCCTGCACCTCGCCACAGCGAGCCTTCGCACGTGAGATCCAACGCCTGCTGTACCACGACGTCTTCCACAAAACCGTCCTCCGACGCCTTCAAGCCTGGTTCCCTCTGCTCCCCGCTGGTCGCGGAGATCCGATCGAAGGTGCGGAAGGTCAGGGAGCGATCCCAAGTATACAAATCGGCACCTTCGTGACGGCGACTCCAGATGCACTACAGCCGCCAGCTGGCGCCGCCTTCCACGACTCCATGAAATACCTGTACGAACGTGCTGAAGCTTGGACCGAGCGCTGGGTCCCCAGCGTGTTCTTCGGCAACGACATCGACAACCACAAGGACTGGATGGACTGGTGCGTCTCTTATGTGACCGCCGTGTTGCAGCGACCGCAGTCTGATGCGCACTTCGCCCTCGACGACGCCTTCGGCTCTGACGCGGCCCGCCATGACAGGGTTGAGATCTGCACGATGGCTTGGCAGCGCAGTGACCGACCTCGTTCTCGACGCTCGGACGTCTACAGTGCCGAGCTCCCGATAACCATCGTTCAGCGTGAACTTGCCGAGGAAGCTGCTGAACATCGAGCTCGCCGCCGCTGGACTGAGCTCGAGACCCGCAGCAACCCGCGCCTGGCTCCTGCTGGCGTCCACACGACCTCGACGACATCTACCACGACAAGCGCGAGCTGGCGCCAGATGGGCATCCTCGAGAACAGCGACGCCTCCTCTCGTGATGGACTACTGGGGAGGACGTTCATCATCACCTCCATCGCCACCGAGTGGCGCGTGCTGAAGAACCACCTTGCGAACTCGCCCTCTTCGCTCTTCTGGCCCGCGGTCGAGACGCTGACGGGCGCCTGGACTACAACATACCGCATGCACGTGAACCCGCACAGGAAGCCGTGCTTGTTCGGGTGCGACCCGCGCGAAGACTCCAGGAACGTAGACGACATCAGTCACTACGTGACCTGCCCGCACCTGTGGGCGATCGTCGCCATGCCGCGCGGCCAGCTCTCAACGGATTTCCTCTCGCGCATTGGCCTGGCGAGCCTCGCGACCGACGACGATGATCCTCGCCATGCCATCGCGCGCCTCGCGGTGGCCTATCGCACGTACAACATCCTGCGCACCAAGCACGAGGCCGACCATCCAACGGCTGTTGCCTCGTCCCACCAGAACAACCCCTACGAGATCCACCAGGCCGCCGCTGCCGCCGCCCGCCGTGCCCTGAGGCTGCCTCGTTGCCTCGTGGGCAGTGCGGGGCCGCAGCGTCGCTGATCGACAGACGTGCGCTCCCCCCAGCGTGTCGATTGCCCTCTGGCTCAAGTTGGCTCAAGGAAGAAGGGGCGTTCAGGTATTGTACTCCTTCGTCAGACAACCTTCTGCAGCACAAGTGTTTTCATCGACTGTTGAATTGTTTTGTCTTGCGTGTCAGGTTTTGCAGAGATGACCTGCCAGGGAGCAACCTCCGTGGGTGAATCACCCGATGGCAAGTACAGGAAAAAACACGACAGCGATATGTCCAATAAGTTCGACCGGGGAAGCCTGGTCGAACTCCATGCCACGGCCCAGCAATACAAGCATGACATCGGCGATGTGCGTGACGCTGCTATCTCTGCAGCTGGAACCGCATCCTCCGAAATGAAAGCAGCTGTAGACATGCAGGCGCGCACCAAGGGCATCAAGGGGATTATGAACACAATTCTAGACGCTTCGCGTATCTCCACAAAGCCAGAATTCCCCGCCCTTTGTGCGATGCACCCCGCCTGGCGGCTCCCCCCAGTCGACGGCGCCCTCTTCTGAGCGGCAGCGAGGCCCGCCTCCTGTTTGTTCCTCCCTCCGCTGTCCCCTTGTTGCCTCCCTCCC